TTTTTTTTCCCAACGTTTATTTATTTTTGGGACAGAGAAAGACAGAGCATGAACGGGGGCGGGGCAGAGAGAGAGGGAGACACAGAATCGGAAACAGGCTCCAGGCTCCGAGCCATCAGCCCAGAGCCTGACGCGGGGCTCGAACTCACGGACCGCGAGATCGTGACCCGGCTGAAGTCGGACGCTTAACCGACTGCGCCACCCAGGCGCCCCTGGAGAACGGCTTTTAAGGACTTAAGGGCTTTGAGGGGCAGGGAGAACCGAAATGTATTTCTTCTCAGAAGTCGGGGAGGAATATGTCCTCTGGAGCTAGAAAATGAAAGTGTGAGTGAGTGAATGAGTGTATTCCCTTTATTACATATAGAACCGTCCTCCACAGCTTTCCTCTCTCCTCTCCTGTGACCCAGTTCAGCCATCCTCCGGGGGGGGGGTCAGCCTCCCCCTTTCTTGGGCAATATGATGGGGGAGCCCCGAGGAGGGGTGAGAAGCCCACACACCGAGCCCCAAGACAGGTCACTGGGACTCTCAGGGCTTCAGGCGCCTCGTCTCTAAGGTGGAGAGAGGGTCACACCTCCAGAGGAGCGGTGGGGTTCAGATGAGCTGAAGTGTCAGAGGACAGCTTGATAAGCATGAGGCATGGCCTCCGGAGGACTTTGGGAATGATTACTGTTCCTGATTCTACACCTCCTCACAGTTAGAGACCCTGCGGTGCAATAGGGACGGTGCTCAGGAGGGCCAGACCCACTTCCTGCCTCCCAAGTGTAAAAGCACCCCCCGCCCCACCCCGGGCCCGCCACCCAGTGTGACCACGTGTACCTTCCACCCTTCCCATTCTGACTCTGCTCAGTTACCCCTAGCAGATAGGAGTTTCACAGATGACTCAGAAGTGCAGAAATGCAAGTTTATTTTTCTGAACGTAACTTTGTGCGTACCCTTATCTCTGGGCTAAGTGACCAATTCATCGTCACCTTAATGACTTTCTCCTTTCCCATCAGCCAGTAAGACATCCCTCTCCCTTCTCAGAAATGGGGAAACTGCTCTTCATCAATCCCCGC